AGGTCGTCAGTCGACTGATGAGCTAGAAAATGGCTTTAACGGTCAGCTCATCAGTCGACTGATGGAAGCTGTCAGTCGACTGATGGCATAACGGCTAGTTTTTTCAGCCTTTGTCATGTTTTGGTTTTTTGGTCTTTTTGCTGGTGTTTCTTGATCTTTGGGGTTTCCTATAAATACTCCCTTATACCCAGCTCTATTTTAAGAACCAAGAATGTTTTAAACAAGTTTAATAAGGGTTTAAAGTTTGTTTTAGTTTGTTTAAAAGAGTGTTTAAGAGTTTTGTTTGTGAATAAAATTTCACAAGAGCAAGTGGAGATCATCTATTGTGTTTGAGCATCCAACTCTTCTTCCTCTTTCTCTTGATCTATAGAGAAGTTTTTCTAAACTCTATTTCTAGCAATTTATATGTTTGAACTTAATTTTCATAAGCTAGATTTACATTGAGTTTAGTTTTGATTTATTTATCTCTTTGTTCACACACAATCTATTGAGCTTATTGTATTTACATTCATAGTATAATTTGGGTTGTGGGTTTGTAACTTAGAGTGTGAGCTTATATTGTGTTCTCACCATGTTTAGAGAACAAATTATTTGTTGATTTGAGTGCTTAATTGTAAGATTCACTTTGTATTACACTAGTACACCAAGAGGAGTGTGTGGTGAGAGACGAGGTCGTCCCAAGAGGAGTGAGGTAGGTGGTAATACCTAGAGAGAGGTTGTAATTCCTAACACTTGAGGGAGACACGAGCTAGAGACCAGCACTTGAGGTGGTAGTTAGTGTAGTTACATTGTGAGTGATTGTAAACGTTGATCGATGAGCGTTGAAAACCGACATTGTGAGGTGTAAACGTTTTTCGGGTAAGCGTAGAAAACCCGGTGTGATAGTGGAGATCTCTTGGAGGTGAGGAGCGGAGACGTAGGTCATGGGGACCGAACTCCGTGAACATATCCTTTGTTTGTGATTGCATTGGCGCACTTATTTTTATGTTCATATCTTATATCGTCTTTGTATATAGCTTGTTGTTTATATTACCCACTATCTAGTTTAGATTATTTACCCTTGTGTTACTTGTATATCCTTGTGTATATATTTGTAATATATCATTCTTGCTAGGATATATTTGTTAATAAGTTTTAATTTGACATAAATCGGATTAGATTAGCATAAACCCTATTAACCCCCTTCTAGGGTTCCTTCCTAATGGCATATATTAGGGTACTTTCAATAATGACAATCCCGATTATCAACAAGGCCATTGAAAATAGGACGGATAAGATTCCACTACTACAATGTTCATGGTGAATAGTCACCTCGCCTTGTTCAGGGTAACTAGTCACAGGGAAGAAGGGAGATTGTAAAGCAGATGGAGAACTTTAATGGTGAGAGATTAGGGGGCTATGGTTTATGAGGATGTAGGATTTTGTGGAGGCTAGGGTTTATATGCTCTGATACCATGTTGAAATTAATGCTGAGGGAAACCAGAGAATCTTTGTAGTGCTCTGCTTCTCTCTTATATTTATACTAAAAGCAAATAAACACATGTTATATATCTATACTACTTATAAAAGAGAATACCCATGTCAAAACTTTTGATTTCCTTTTTTACTCTCTCTCAATTTTTTTATAACTCAAAATTATACAATTAATTATAAAACTAATGATCCATAACCTCATTAACTATGCACCTTTTCATTTTCTCAAATTATTTGGTCATTCGCTAGAATATATTAATAATTTATAATGATAACAAAATTTATGAGTATATGATAATTTATTGTAAATAATTATTAATTATATAAAATAGTAAAAGTCATTCATTTAATAAAGTATTGGATATAATTATAATTATAAATAATTGTATAAATAGGGTTATTTCTTTATGTTATAAAGAATATTACATCGTTTGATAATTAATATCATCTTAGTAATAAAAATTTGGATGATATAAATTAAAATATTTTTATTTTAAAAAGTAGAAAATTAATTTATATAAAAAAATTGGATCCTTGAAATTTATGAGGCATATACTTTTCTCATCTTTTCTTCAAAATATTTTGCCACTCGCTAGAATATACTAATAATTTATAATGATAATAAAATTAATAAATATATTATAATTTATTAT